TGACAAATCTCTTCAGCTTTCTTTCGCCCTTTACGGATCCTACTTCTCAACTTTTATATGATCATTCCTTCGGACAGTTTCAATGCCTCTATAATCGCGAGACGTATTAGCCATTTAGTCGGCCCTATGAAGCCTAGCAATGACATCTCTCAAGGCGTATGGAACTGACATTCACGGGGCTAGAATTGAGCACTTACTGACTATCCAGCGAAATAAACCCAGCGATACTTGCGCCTGAGATAAACTTTAACTTAGTCAGAAAGGAAATCATGGGCCAGGAATTTGGCAATGAAGCAGTACTTTGTTAGCAGGGTAATCAAAACGAAATATGAGCAGTGCACGGGCTCGCCGCAGCAAATGAACCCAGACAGGCTCAGAGACACAGAGGTGGTCGGGGATTTCTCCATCTCTGCTAGAGCATACTCGTGAGCTTCGAAGAAGGGCCTTCGGAAGCTTTTCAGCGATCTCGCGTTTCCTCTGTCATTTGACATCTGCTTCTTAGAATTTTAGCACGACAAAGTTCATTCAGACGGGAACTCAAATCTATTTCGTGTCTCGAAACACTCCTTTTCCTTTCCTTCAATTCACATTTATCATTAACGTCAAGGAATCCTGACCCGGCTCTCTTAACACCCGAGACTTTTCATTTTCAGTCCATCTGCTTCGCCGGGAACGAGATTCGCTATCTGGCGCACAGCGTGGTGTTCGCTTTTTTTCTGCCAGCCTCCGTGACTCTCACTCTCTATTGGCGAATTTACAAGCTGGCTCGAAATCGACAGCGAGCACTCGACCGGGGATTTCTCATGATCCTCGGGCACAACATGAATTTTCTTTCGAATACCCTCAGTCAACAGGTCTGTCCTTTTCGACTTTCCCCGACTTTTTTCTCGATCAATAACAATTTTGCAGTCGTCCAACACGCTACGGGTTCATTTCGGGAAGAACAGCGGCATGGTGGAGCATCAGCGACGAGTGCTGCGAACGCATGAGCGCATCGCGAAGACTCTTGGCGTCGTTTCGTGTTCCTTTCTTTTCTGCTGGTTGCCTTTCTTCAGCCTCTACTTGACAAGTGAGCATTTTCAAGTATTGCTAGAAAAAACTAATTCCCATGAGAAGTAGGCTGATTCGCAAGTGCTCAGCAAGACGTTGTTATTAATCATCTAGTGGCATCGGTAGCCCACCGAGGCATCGCTTTTGCCTTGGAAACCCGGGAAACGGGAAGAATTCCCAGTCGCGGGGCATTTTCCGGCGTGACTGCCGAATTATGCGGCATTTGGCAGGGCAAGCAGGGAGCAGCATATGTAAACGCGACGACTCTATTATGTGATTACCGGTCGAACGAGTTAGAAGAGAGCGGGCGTGAGGCGAGAAGAGAGCGATTGATTCGCTCGTTCCTCGCTTTCTTTCACTCTCGGCAGACAAGCACCCCCACATATACACACGAAAAAGTCAAAGCATTTCAGATTACAAATGTCAAGGATGCATCTCGCCTATCGCCATCGACCTCGCCAGTTGGTTAGGTACGTCAGCTGCACGGGGCCTCCGAGCCTCCTTACTTATAAAACAAACGTTGAATGGACGTTTTCTGCTTGCAATTTTGCACCCCAAACTTGGGCATTTTTTATAAAGCGGTATGGAAGACTGCGAGCAGGCTAAGAGCCCCAGCTTAAAGGCACGGGACCGCGTAGGTTTAGGGGCGTTCCCAAGACACCACGGATCTCGGTCGGCACTTGAAGGCGCTTGAAAGCGCCTAACAGAGAAGCTAATCCCCTTAATCACTAGGTTCCTTTTGTTTTTCCCTGATTGCTCCTTCGCAATTGTTTGTTTCATTTCGAGCGACAATTCCGGTTCGTTGTATCTCGGGTGCCTTTAATTCGCTGGCGTTCGTAACACCTCCCATCAGCGTTCGCGTCTGAATAGGGCCCCACTGCATCAAACTCATTAGAAAGCTTCTTGTGACTTCTCTCTTGATTCTTCTTATTTAGGCTACTGCAACTCGATGCTGAACCCGATCATCTATTCATTCACAGTCAAAGAATTCAAGAAATCCGCGCTCCGCCTTGTGGCGCCCACTTGGCAGTTCGCCCACAAATGCCTGCCGAAGATCTTCCCCGCGCCACCTGAACGAATCATGCAAAGGATGTCGCGTACTGGTCATCGTGCCCGCAACAAGACACGGCATCGTTCATTCGAGATCAACGAAAAGAAGGCCGCTCTGCTCAACTCAAAAGGTGGTCAGAAACGACGTCAGACTGAACCAGCCGTGTTCGGACTTCAGAAAAAGGTAACAATGCAGATTTTTCCCTTGACTCTCCTAGCTGACTCATTCCACTTTTGCAGGTTTGCGACGCGACGGTCGCGCCGATCATCATCGAGGAGGACGAGGACGGGCAGCAGGACTACAGCGAGTCCAACGGCTTCACCACCTACAACGAGACGTCACGACGTCTTTCCGACCTGCCTCCACTGCCGACGCCGTCGCCGGCCATGCAGCCAATCGTCGAGATGGACTCCTCGAGTGCGCTCGTGTCCAATGGCGAATGCAAATCTGGTCAGGCGGACAACTCGGGGTGCTTGATAAAAGTTTTCTGCGACACAACAGAAGCCGCCCTCTGAACGCACGCTTTATCACTTGCTCAGCTCACCTTCACGTGTAACGGAGAGACTTTAGTGCTCTTTCCATTTCCAAAACGTGTATATTTAATTGATCTGTACATGTGTTTTTATAATTCGTCATGCAAAATAAAGATTTCTATGAGAAACCCGAATCTTGCCCCTTATATGGATGCCGTTCGGCTTTGACGCCCTTGATCCCGGGCGAACGCCCACTAGTGTTGGACAAGGAAGTGAGTGGACGGGGAGCACATGGGGGAAGGCATGACTGATTGCGGGAAGATCAGGAGAGAAACAGAGATGTAGAAGACGACGACCTGGGACGGTAGGGGTAGGAGAGGAGAGGGAGCGACAGCGCGGTGAGGAAGAAGGGAGTTCGCACGCTTTGCGTAGTGGTGGCCGTGAATAATGCAGGCGTTGGCATGCGGAATGCTGCTACGACGACACAGCACTCGCACTGATATCCGACCAAAAGATGAGCTCATCCGACCTAAGCACCCCTCTTTGAAGTGCACGAAGTGTCGAAGTTCAAAGTGAAAAGCTAGCGCCACACCACGGCCGCGGGGGAGAATTACTGTATGCGATTTTTTCGTCGCGCGACAGTAAGATTTGCCGACTATGGCTAGGGATACTGTTACCTGGGGCCGTAGGCAGAATTACCCAGCCGAGGATGAGCCTCCAAAAACTGTATTCTTTGGGCGCCTCCTACACTTGACCATAGGTACCTTGGGGCAGGTCATCTCTTAGAGATGCAGACCTTTGTGGATCCCATCCCCGACCGGGTACTGAATACGGTCCTGGAAGGTGCAACCGTAACTTGGAAACCAGTTTGCAGGATTGCTCTCCCTCTTCTTTTGTGGCTCATTTGTGGCTCAGGGGATCAAAATTGAACGTTTCTGGAGATTTAGTGGTACAAAGTTTGACATCTAATGTACTCCTCCAAAAAGCAGCAAGCATGACTCAGCTCTTTGTGATGCGCCGTGCACTAGACATGCTTTCAAACTCGTAACTTGAACGCGGGCTTTGTTGGATTGAGAAATGTCACCTTCAGCCAATGTTTACGTCAATCACTCAAGTTTAGGGCCTTACAGACAAGCTTTTAGGGCGACTAGCCGATTTCGGCAAACAATACTAAGAAAAAGCCTTTTGACGAGCTCTTTCCTAGGAACAGTGCAAGCGTCAACTCTTGGCTACCTCAACAATGCTACCAAACAGGGAATCGCAAAAAAAAGGCTCAACAAAGCTAAGAGGAAACTCCGCGCCTTTCGCAAATGTAAAAAAACCATATCCATGATTTCAGCAATTATTATCGATTTCTCAAGTAAAAACAACCCACTCAATAATGACTTCTGTTGAGATTTTGGTGTGTGCTTCTTGTTCATTCGGACGGCGATCTCCAACATTAAGATCATGCAAATGAACATCACTACACTTTGCGCTAACAACGCAAGGTCGAATCGTTTGCCAAACCTGGAAAAAAAGGGATTTTATGAATGAAAAATTCCTAAACTTCCTCCAAAGGCATGTGGCGCTAAAATTCAGGGATACGTGAGGAAAATCCCCTCATAGAAGAGTAACAAACACGACGCTAATCAATTTCGCGAACTTACTACCACCCATACTATCTCTACCCAGAGCCACGGAGGCAGCTTGAGCATGACCTTCCCAAGCGTCAGCAATTTTTCAGAAACCTCATAACTCCTCTCCCAGGGGTCCCCCGCACGCCTCTCCCTCTTCCCGCCCCCGAACAGCATCCACCACCCTCACCATCATAGCTGCTTCTACGGTATCAGATTCTAAATTTCCCCTGAAGCTTCCATCAAGAGAGCCTGAGGTGTATGCGAATGGTCCGTCGATTCATGAGCCAATTTCTTACTCATTCTGAATAAATATGTTAGGTTAACCTAAGACTGAGCCTGAAAAGGGGCTCACATTCCCCTGAGAATCCTTTCCCCATCCTTATGAGGCATAGTCCCAAGTTGCGTAAGTGACCCACTCGCTCCAATGTCCTCCCTAACGATATGAGCGCCACAGTTATCATATGAACCCCGTCGATAATTGATATACTTAAGACCATACAAAGGAACAACTACTCCCTACTCACCAGAACAATATCCTGAGGATGTTCGCAATGCATAACGCCAGGCAAACGAACAGTGAGAAGCCCTGGGCGTTCCGTCGATGGTGTATTTCCGAGTATTGGAAAATGTAAGGGATTGAACCACCGACTGGAAATAAAATCTCGAAGCCAATGGCAACTAAATGTAGGGTAAAAGAGAAATAGAAA